AGCTTTATTACTAGTTTGCTTCTTTCCTCCAAATAATGAAATAACATATACATGTTATATATGTGTATGTATATGTGTATCAAACAAGCATAGTCAACAAAACAAACTCCTATTTGAAATTTGTGTTGCCTTTGACAACATCTCTTCTTGGAAAGCAAGTCAGTTGTTTTCTGACTAAGGCTTTTAAGGCTCTTTTTGGTCTCCTTTTTATGGCAATGGATTCCTATCAGTTAAACTTCCATATAAAATTACTGCAATAGATGTTTATGTCATTTCTGTGTTTGTTACACATATTTTCATGACTTTCATAACTTTTAAAATTAGGTTAGGATTGAGTTGTTTCAACTGTCCACTATATATTTTTTGCTCACCATTATAGATACAAAGACAAAAATGAAATAGATCTTGTCAAAGAACCTACATTTTATGGCTAAGGTTTTTGAGCATAAGAAGGACATGGTCAGATCTATGACTCTGGATGAATATTCTGGCAGCTGATAGATTAAAGAAGGGAAAACAATTAGGAAGCTTGCCATAATTGGAAGTAAAATGAGCTCCTTAAGAACTGAGAAGTAAAGGTTATCTATGAATAGTAAAGTCACCAAAGATGTTAGGAGATAGAGAGAAGAGGAAGAGTCTACGTGCTAAAGCCACTGTGAAAAATGACAGTACCATGGAAGTCATGACATGGCAGTGATAACAAATGGAAGAGAATGCTATAATAAGACTGTATAAAGCTCAAAGAAGAGGATGTTTTTGAATGACAAAGGCAGAGCGAGGATCTGAAATGATGGTGGATAATAAGGAATATGTGGCTCCTTCAGGTCCAGTGAGTTAGAAAGCACTGAGAAGGCAAGAGAGATGAAGTCTTAGAACTAAGATTTCCCTTCATATACAATTTGGAAAATTCAATGCAAAAATAATCAAAAGCTAACTATCACGTGTATGCAGATGACTTTCACAGCTACATTTCTATATTCTATCTCATATCTACATTTCTATATAGCTACAAAACATCCCATGCTTTTTCATGTGAGTAGAAGGGAAGGAAATAAACATTTATATAATTCCTATTATGTACCAGACACTATACCAAGAGCTTTGCAAATATTATTCATTTATCTTCACAACAACCCTGAGAAGCAGATGTTATTATTATCCTCATTTTATAGCTCAGGAAACTGAGGCAAACAGATTAAGTGACTTGCTCAATGTCACACAGCAAGTAAATGTTTAGGAATGGATTTCAACTCAGGTCTTCCTGATTCCAGGTCCAGCACTTCATCTACTTAGCTGCCTAACTGCCAAAATATTTCCAGAGTAGACCTTCTGACACCCCAAATTTAACCTATTGAAGACAAAATTATTTCTAAAGAAGAAATCTCTTTCCAATATCCACATTACTGTCAAAAATATTGCCCTTCTTGTGAGTTCTAAGTTTTTAATGCTCTGAAATATCACTTGAATTTTTAATATGAGATTATATTTTTGGTCTCCATGATATAACCTCCATGATGCCTATATCCATTTTTTTTACTGTTATTCCATAAATGTTGGTGACTAAATGACAAAAGAGTTAACTGATTTAGTGAAGGGGCATCTAGAAGAACTACTAAGAAGGTTAAGGAATTCAATGAGTCATATGTACAAAAATGTAACTGAACATTGTAGTTCTTTTTAAAACAGAATCTACCATCTCACTCATGGCTAAGTAAAAACATTATAACATTTAAATGGGGGGGGAGGAGAGGAAAGCTTATTTTTTAACTTTTTATTTTAAGTTAGGAAATGTAGGAGGGATTATTAGGGATGAGATACAATAATCCATTCATTGCAGCAATTAACTCTTCAGTAACTGATCCTAAATCATACAATATAAAATTCCTATTACTTCATTACTCACAAGGGAAAGTGAGATTTTTGGTATGTCAGGGAGTATAAGTATCAAGGTTTTTAATTTTAAAATTGTAAGTGTTAAGGGTTTTAATTTGATCCTTTCAATGGATGTCAGTGATGTCTTTCAAGTAACCAGCTCACACTTAACATTATGCCATGCTACAAAGACCTTCCATGTACACCATTTCATTTGATTGTATTAACAACTTATTTAGGTACTTAAAGCATAACTACTACATGAATTTTACAGATGAGAAAACAAACTTTAACTACTAAGTGTGGCCAAGCTAGAATTCAAACCCATATAATTGTACTCTAAGTCTAGGATTCCTTCCAAAATATTTTGTTGCTTTAAGATAAGAAGATAAAAATAAGATCTGGGATAGGAATATCCACGAGATAAAAGCTTTAGGTTAGGAAAAAGTGGACATGGAAGATAAAAGAAGTACTAAATAATACCTAAGACTATGAATCTGGCAAATGCATAGGATACTGGTGACACTGGTAAGAAGGGGAATTTACTTGAAAAAATTTCTTTTTTATTAACAATGACTCAAAAAACAGTGAACTTTTCCATAAAGAACAGAAAAAAGGATTGTACATGACATAATGACTCTCTATTGTAGCCTTTTTAAAGGTATATATCAAATCTAACACAGTACTGGCAATATTACCCTGCTTGTTTTTTTCTGAACTATCTTCTTTTACCTCCTTTTTAATGCTTCACTGATGTTCTTTTCTTTTTCCTTTGTACCCTTATCACTATCTGCTCCTCTCCCTAGAGGTTCTTCTGTCCCTGCCGATCTCCCAAACCCTCCCTTATTATAAAAAAGTCAAGTGAAATAAATTAGCATAACAGCTGTGTCTGGAAAAAAGTCGATATCCTTCTGTCCCTCCAGCCCATCATCTCTCTTCTATGAATTGGGAATGATTTACTATCAGTCATCTAGATCTGTGCTTGGTCATTACATCAATCATGGTTCTTGTGTCTTTTACAATTTTTTCCTTTACAATGTTGTCATCATTGTAATATATTTTTCTCCTGGTTCTGTTCATTTCGACGCATCTGTTCATATAAATTTTCCCAGTTCATATGAATCACACAAATTATCTGGATTCGTCCTTTTCATCATTTTTTTATGGCATAATATATTCATATTACATTTATATACAGTTTGGCAAATGTCTTCCATGTAATAACACTTTTGCACAACACCAGAGGTCATTCTGAAATATCTTTTTTCAGATCAAATATAGATATAATGCACTGAATATTTAGCAAATTTAAATAAATTAATCCTGATGTGACCATATTTCATACAAAATTTATATAATTTCTTTCTGAAGTTTTGAGTTTAATAACTGCTCACTTAAAATCTGTAGTTTGGAATTTGTAATACATGAATAAAATGTTAATTGACAACATATAATTCAGAAGGTAGTATTTCTCTTTTCAGACTGTGACCAAAGTAAGAGTCCTAATATGAACTTAATAGTTAATTTTGATTACCCAAAAAAAAGAATTTCTAAGAAGTAAAATAAAAATAGGATGATAAGATAGTTAATTGGAAAAAAACTCTTTAAAACCAATTTCTCTGATAAATGTCTAGAATTCACACAAATATAAAATGAGAGCTATTCCTAGATAGATAAATAGAAGGATATGAATAAGTTCAAATAACCACATGGAAGATATCAATAACAATAAGGAAAAAATGCTCCAAATTATCACTAATAAGAAATGTGTAAATTACAATTATTCTGAGGTTCCACCTCACATCCACCAGATTGACAAAGATGACAGAAGAGGAAAATGGAAATCGTACAGGGACTGTAGAAGGATGGGGCATTGAGGGAGGTGTGATGGAATTGTGAACTGATCCAACTATTCTAGAAAGTGAAATGTCATAAAGATACATTTTATAACCAATGATACACTGGTAAAAAAAAATACAGACAGCTCATTCTCAAATTTAACAACCTATTGCTGACTTGCTGCCCTTTGAAAGTATAAAGACACAAATATGGTCTTTAAGTTGGAGTAGTGAGAACAATCAGCATGAGCTCTTTCAAGGACTGATCTAAGTACACCCAGAGATTAGTATTCTTGCAGTGCCAAAAAGTCACCAAACTGTGTGTATCCTCTGATCCAGTAATAACATCATTAGGCATACAACCAAGGAGGTCAAAGAGAGAAGGGAGATACACATAAAAATATTTACAGCAGTCCTTTTTGTTGTATCAAAGTATTGGAAACAAAGTGTGTGCTAATCAATTGGGGAATGGCTGAACAAATCATAGTGTATGAATGTAATGAGATATTACTGCATCCTAAAAAATGAATAGGATGGATTTAGAGAAACTTGGAAAGACTTGTGAAATTATTCAGAATGAAATGAGCAGAATCAGGACAGAACAATTTAATGTTAACTATAGAAAAGGAAAACAACTGAAGGATTATAGAATTCTGATCAAGTTAGAAAACAATCAAGACTTTAGGTGAATTATCCACATCTTGGTACAGAGGTGACAGACTAAAGGCACAGAATAAGACCAATGTGTTGATTTGTTTTCCTTAACTGTATTTGTTATAATTGAACAGGTCTTCTACTTGGAGGAAGAGATGTAAGTAAGCAGATACTGACAGCAATGCAAAACAAAAAAGTATCACTAAAACATCTTAATTATATACAAAAGAAAACAAAAAAGAAACTCAGGGCAATCTTGTTAGTATTATGTTAAATTTGACATCTGAAAACAAGTATGTAGCAGAATTGTACAGTTTCATATGCAGCCTTCTTTGTTTTGCATTGAAATATACAAGTTTGTTGATGATTGTTTAACCCATAATAAAATTTTCACCTAATTAGCATTTGGCTAGAGTTAGTCTTTTTCTCTGTTCTATTTTCTACTTTTCAGGAATATGTTTTCCTTTTTATTCAATTTAACAATTTATTAAATCTTTTCAAATCAATAGGGGGAGAGAAAGTATGAGAGTGTGTGTGTGTGTGTGTGTGTGTGTGTGTGTGTGTGTGTGTGTGTGTGTGTATGTAAGGATATAGAAAGATGAAGTCAACAAAAGTGAAAACAATGAAGTTTCTTACCTTCAGGATCATATGTTTGAAAAACCCTCCTGGCTTGCTCTGAAGGAGCTTCAGGGGCAACTAAGGCCATATCCTGAAAAGATAAAAATTTTCAAATGCAATCAATTCAATTCAACAGACACATATCTGTACAAAGCATCATGTTAGGTGACAGTGATGCAAAAAAAAAAATCCCTGCTATGAAGGAGCTTATATTTAAATGAAGAGATACAATAGTATACAAATAAGGGTAATAAAAATCATCTGAACAGCAATTAACTTAAACAAAAGTAAACTATAAATTTTTTTTAATCAAAACTAAACAGACCATAGTCAACAACAACAGCAAATACTTGGTTGACAGTACTGATTTACTGGGAAGCAAGAAGCACAACCTGAAATATGTCCCAGTCTTCAAAATGTTTGTTATTGACATCCAAGTACTTCTACAAATGAACAGTATAATATAGAAATATATATGCTTATACTTCTGTTCAGAATGGTCGATGGCATGGTGTACTGTATGACTGATAAAAGTTGAAAAACCCATTAAATCAAGATCCATTTCAGATCCACCAAGTCTTATAGCATGATGTTGCCTACCAGATATGTTAATCTGAATGTCTTATAATCAACTACAATTGGTTAGGATAAAAATAGTTGTTCATCTTCCAAAACAAACTTCCCCATTACAATATACATAACCATTTCACCCAACTTTCAAATGAGACATTTGGTACTTTACCTATGATTCTTCAGTCACACTGTTTTTTGGAGGGGATGGGGAAAGAGTGAGTGGTTAGGCAGCAGATTTGTGATGTTGTATGTATAAGGGAACTCCCAGTATTGGAAACTCCCTCTATGGATACAGCTTGGCAATTCACTTTTGACTTATAATCTAAGTCACTTTATATTTTCTTATATAGGTCTAGGTGAGGCAGGAAGTATAGTGGATAGAGAGCTGGCCCCAAGAATCTAAAGATCTATGTCCAAGTCCCAACTTTGACCCATGCTAGCTGTGTAACCCTAGGGAAGTTACCTAACTTCTCAATACCCCAAGCAGTTTTCTAAGATTCTAAGTTGCAAAGAAGATGCCAATCTGCACTGGTAGGGAAAATTCCACAGCAAGAACATATTACTACAACAATGAAATCACATGTTTGGTTTAAAAAAAAAGGCTTATATCAGTTTTAGCTGTTTTCTATTTTACTATCTTTTGGGAATTTACAAGTGTCAATTTAACTTACTCTGAGAATATCTAGCAAATTACTATATGCAGGTAAAGCTCTTAATAAATTACTGATGAAGAGTACTACCTTTCCTGATCTCTCCAGCTTCTAGTGTCACCCCCCTCAAATCTTTCACCTGCTATCTATTCTCCCCCCCCCCCCCAGTCTCCTCTGGCCTGTCTGTAAGCTTCTAAAAGGCAGGGGCTATTTTCATTTTTGTCTTTGTATGCTAAGTGTTTGGCATAGGACCTGGAATAAAATGTTTAGTTATTGAATAATTAAACTGTGCAAGCAACAACAAGTTTTCTCTGAAATGCTCTCTCTTCTATTCTCAAATAAATACTATTCTTTAAATTATTGTAACAAGTTGTTAGAATTAATCTCATTTTCCCTATAAAAATTACTTAAACTTTTAATTTATTTTCCATTTTCTTGTTCAGTTACTGGCACAGACCATGACTTTCTTAATTACTTCAACAATCTTTCTACTGATTGGAATAAGTTATTTCCTCAAACTGTATATAGGATATTTTTTTGGGGGGGGCTAGGCAATGGGGTTAAGTGACTTGCCCAGGGTCAGACAGGTAGTAAGTGTTATGTGTGTGAGGCCACATTTGAACTCAGGTCCTCCTGAATCCTGGGCCGGTGCTCTATCTACTATGCCACCTAGCTGCCCCTTGTATATAGGATATTTTGAAAACTGTGGTAGATGAATTTAATAGAATAATTCTGTATTCTAAGAAATAATGAGCACGATGACTTCAGAGAAATATAGGAGGATTTATACAAACTGGTGCAAAATGGAGGTAAGGAGAGCCAGGAAAACAATATCCACAATAACTACAACAATTTAAATGGAAAGAATAACCACAAACAATAAAAAAAACGAATGTGGTGAAATTATAAAGAACAAGTCTGGCCCCACAGAATAAATGAGAAAAAACTTCCCTAATCCATTGCAGAAGGGAGGGAGGCAGTTCACAGGTATTGAAACACTGCATATAATATCAGATTTTTTTGTTGTTGTACTGACTGGTTTTACTAAATTTTTTTTCTTTTTTAATTTAAAAAAAATGTCATTACAAGGGACAGCTTGTTGGGTAGAGTGACAAAGAAGGAAATCTAGCTAGTGTAAAAACAAAATATATCAATAAAAACCCATTTCAAAAAGAAGTTGCCAGGAAAACGTTCCCCATACATATTTCTGACCATAACACCTTTCTCCATGGCTCCTTGCTCAAAAACACTTTGGCACCTCTCCAGTGTTCAAAGGATAATAAAACACACTCTAAGCTTGACATTTAAGGTTTTCTAAATCTGGCTCCACACAACATTTTCAACTTTATTCCATTCTTCCCCTCTTAATATGCTATGAATTCCAAACTATACCTCTAACTGTGTTCCCTTATTTTATCCTGACTGAATTCATGGGGATCTTGAAAAATTGTACTGCAATGTTACATCTAGACCAGGATAGAGTCACCTCCATAAAGCCTTCCTTCTGATTTTCCTGCCTCAAAATGACCTCCTCTAACTAAAATTACTTGTAGCATTTTGACCTCTCCTCTACTCTAATTACACTGCTTTATATTTATCTCTAGACATATCTTATTTCTCCTCTAAGCACCTAAGTTCCTTCAGGGCAAGAATTACATTATTTTCTCACCATGGTTTGCACAGTTCAGATGTTTAATTTTTTAAAAAATTAGGGAAATCATAGTAGACACTCAAATATTTTGTAATATTTACAGTGGGTGAAGGATGAAGAGTCAGTAAGGAATAAAGACAAGGAGGTTGGAAAAGAGCCAGAAAAATGATATAGAAGCCAAGGGAGGAGAAACCTTCAAGAAAGACTGGATGATCAACAATGTCAAATGCTCCAAAGAGAGCTGAAGATGATGAGGACTTAGAAAAAAACCTCTGGGCTGGTTAAGAAAGAAGTAGAGATCAGGTTTAACAAAGTGGTAATCACGAGGAAGACAAGTTGGAAATGAAAAAGGAGGGATAAAAATCTAGATTAAAAAAAGGATTATTGAAACTATTTTGAATTCTTCTAAAACTGGGTATCTTGAATATTCTTTTGTAGCTAATAGTTCTGAAAATAGCTTAGGTTTTTTGTTTTCAAAAGAGAACAGTACAACTCACAAATGTACCACTTGAAGTGGAGAAGCGTGAAACATCTTAAAAATATGTACTTGAATAACCCAAACAGAAGTTTTACAATTTTTTTCAAAATGCAAAATTTAAGCCATAAGCCCAAATTGGATGGGTCCCACATAATGCAACTTACATAAAAGAGAGTAAAGTCAGCTATTATTGTCACTTCTTAATAATCAAAATTGCATTATGAGATAAGAAAACATTTGCTTCTTTGTTCCCTATGATTTGCTAAAAGGCACTTCCCTAAACTTCTTAAAATTAATTTCTTCAACTTTAATAAAACAATAATAAATGTTTTTATTAATAAAATTTTCTTATCTTAATGACCTGGTCCATTCCAGTTCTAAAGTTCCATGAATTCATAACACTGAAGATAATTTATCCAATTCTTTTCCATTTAATTGGACAATTTCTAAGAATTTACTACTATGTGCAAGGTACTATGCTAGTGTCTGGGGAAACAAGATAGTTATAAGACTCTGCTTGCAAAGAGTCTGTACCTAATGATGGGTGGGGAAAGGGAGGGATATGTATAGAAAAGAAATACACAAATAATCATGTGTATAGAAGAGAAATATACAAATAATTATGAGAAGAGGTACAGAATGATTAAATCAAAAAACAGGTTTAAGTGACAGGGAAAAGAGGAGAGAAAGAGGGAGGAGAGAGGGGAGGGGGACAGAGGAAAGACAGAGAGGGGAGAGAAAGGAAGAGAAAGAGAAAGAGAGGGGGAAAAGAAAGAGAGGAGAATGGAAGGAGAGGGGAGAGAAGCAAGAGAGTGAGGGAGTGAGAGAATGAGAACTGCACAGTTCTCCACAGGAGTCACTACCAAGAAATGCAGTCAGTCAGTTAAATGCCTACTGCATGCCAAACACAGTGTTAAGCACTGGGGATACAAATATAAAAAAGAAAGACAGCCTTTGCCGTCAATGAGTTTATAACCTAATGGGAGAAAACAACACACAAAAGTTGAAAAGGGGGGAGAGGAAGGGAAGCTACTGGGGTTGGGGGAGGGACTTGATGGAGAAGTCCAAGAAGTGTGCAGCTAGCTGGGAAATGAAGAGATGGTTGGCCTGAGCATCCTCCTCAAATGGTGTTTTCTCCTCCTCATCTTTCTCAATTGACTGTTGCATCTGCCAATGTGGACTACTCTCTCCTTTTGGATACTTGCTCCTCTCTGGGGAGTTTTGTGTCACGTGTTTAGAATGCAGTCCCTCTTTACCTCTGACTCTCAGAAGCAGCTCAAGTGCCACACACGTCTTATATTTACTCTTTTTATACTTACTCCATATATATTTATGGACAGACTTTCTGTCTCCCCATTAGAACGCAAAGCTTCATGCAAGCAGGGAATGTTACGTTCTTTGTATTTGTATTCCCAGCAGAGGAGGTGCTTAATAATTGGTAGTTGATTGACTAATGGAGTCTCTTCTTTTCGGTTATTAGGGGGAAGGAGGCGTTTCTTGAAAAATAATTGTAAGGTGAAAACAAAGAAGAAAATTTTTTTTTTGGTGAGGCAATTGGGGTTAAGTGACACTTGGCTAGTAAGTATCAAGTGTCTGAGGCCAGATTTGAACTCAGGTCCTCCTGACTCCAAGGCTGGAGCTCTATGTACTGCACCACCTAGCTGTCCCAAGAAAAAAATTCTTAAGAAGCATTGTGTTAGGAGGTTGTAAGATTGTCCCAAAGGAGAAAGGAAAGGACC